GACGACGCGTGTCACGGGGGAGGGGTGCGATGAAAAGCGAGTACAAGTGGCTGAGAGATAGAATCGGTGCCGAATCCTCGTTAATCGATTCAGAACGATTTTTAATTTTTTTTGATAAAATAAATAATATTTGCGTATGGAACTAAAGAGCCGCAGCTTCACATCCAAAGAGCCGCATGTGGCTCGCGAGCCGCAGGTTGCTAGTCCGATATATGTTTAGAAATTCTCGACTGTTAAATTTTTATATATTAAAAAGTCCTAATATTAGCTTTTATAAACTAAAGCAAAATTAACACCAAATTGATACAAAAGGTAAACTTAGAATGCTTGTCAAAGGTTCATTATAGCTTCATTTTTGACTTCCTTGGTAAGAAATTTGAGTTTACATTTTATTTAAATATTATTTACTATACTTTATCTAAAACATAAATTAGAATTTCCAGATACACTCACCTGATAAGCATACACAACATAATTATCATATCCAAATGACGAATAACTTTCATTATAAACGCACTGAAAACCTGTAAAGAAATATTTCCGATTATTTATTTGTTTTATAATAATACACTTATTTGTGTTAATGAAACAATAAATTGTAAGTAACGAAGTTGCAAGTCGTGATCAACTCCTTCGTAACTGCTAAACTGTATTAAGTTTATGGTATTGTTTGGTATTATAAGTAACGGTATTACAGTAATTATGAATCGTATTAATAAATAATTAAATATTTATTTATTGCGTACCGAGAGATACCCGTATGACTCACAATGGGTATCACCTCAGAGGTGGGAACCATAAGTGAGATGGCTCCAATTATCTCTCACATATCTCGTATGTGAGCATATCAGAAATCGAACCCATTAAAAGCATATTAAATACAATCAGCAAAAAAAACCTTTTGTAATTCGCATAAAATCTGTTCAATATTTAGTATGTCGTGAATAGAAAAGTAAACTTAAATATCAAAAATAAAAATTTTTGCTTATCATCTCTTCATTTCAAGGTCTACGTTGTTATTATTTGTATCTAAGCATTGGTTATTTAAGAATATTTAACAGTTTCTAAATATTAATTAAATAAATGAATCATTAACATATTTTAATTATTGTTTGTTATTAATTCTGTAAAATACGAATAACTCATGCAACATCTTTATTTCCTTAGCTGTATGCATCCACTATCTTGTCGAAATTGCCGCCATACATTTTCAATCTTAATTAATCTTATTTTAACAAAACGCGTTACTTTTATATAATTGTTACTTATTTTTAATAATAATCATTTGCATTTCAGGTAAAAACTGCAAATGAAAATCTATTGGTATTGTGATTATTTCCATATTTGTTTATTTAATACATCTCCACCAATGAAAAGTAAAACATATCCCGTCATCTCTCTTTAAGCCAATTAAGGATTTGAGTTATAATCCAAATGTTATTAATGATATTAAACATTAAATTGAAAGCAAATAATGTAGCAGCGATGCTCATCATGATACACTTTATCGTAATTTCATTCATGTTTTATGCTTTTATTTAAATATAACACTAACATTGTTTATTATCGCATTATGGACACGCTGTAAACTAATCAGTGTAATTACACACATAATCAGATAGTTTAACTTACTTTCAGCATTCATTTTCGCAAAATTATCTCGCTTTCGAAAAAATCGCATCCGAAAACAATCGTTTCTAATCAACAAACGGATTTTACAATTGTTGAAATTATATTGTTAGCGCTTTTTTTAATGAAACTGTTAGGGCGCCCCTAGCGGTGAATATGGGGATTCACGTTTTTTTTTTCAGCTGGGTTTTCACATTATTTTAATGGCGGAATGTCTCTGCCAACTTGTACTGTGCTGTTATCTGATTGTATATTTTAAAGGTAAAGAAACCTTATGTTTACGCCATGTCTGGTTTCCTTCAAGAACCTCGTAACGTGATGTTACAGCCGACAGGATACTTACTGATATAAGTTACGGAAATTTAGATACAGCGAAGAGGGGTTCGAATAAGCTTGACCATAACGTTGGGTGAACTTACGGCTAAGATTGATAAAACCGTGGTAGATCTTTTGTGAGGTCGTCTCGTCTACTATCACGACAAACTGGTAGTGTTGGATCCACTGGTAATGGGAGAGATTGCTCAGAATGAGAACGATATTTCGTCCGATGTCGATTCTGTTGCCGACTACGAAAGAAGATATATGCTGATGGAAACCAGGTGAAGATGCTAACCAAGGACGTAGACAGTGGAAGTGTCAGAGGTTCCACGGAGGAGTCATCGGCAGGTCCGAAATCACAGTATCGCTTGACAAAGTTAGAATTACTGATGTTTGATGGTAACCCCAGAGAGTGGTTGAAGTTTTTGAGTTAGTTTAAAGGATTCTTGAAAATAAAAGTATCTCAGCGGAGGATAAATTTCAGTTTTTGCTCTTCGCAATTAAGAATAAATCCAAGGCACGCAGACAGTTTTCCAAAAAGTAATTTTCTCAATTTTTTATTCGAAATACATAGTTTAAGCCCATGCTAGATGTTCATAAAATACAGACGAACTACTATTTTTCAATGATTTTATCCACTCGATTTTTGTAATGCATACTTTCGTTGATGTAATGAGCCTATACAGTTTTAATTCCCTACGTAAATCAATGGGACTTTTTCGATAAGCTTTTAATAATAAAATTTCTTAACTGTAATAAATGTAAAAATAAAAAGTTCCAGCAAAAATTTTTAATTTTCTAACGTTCTCCGCGATCAGGAACGAACTTATAAAGGAATAGTTTATAAAATTTAAATTCAAAAATGTTCCAAATATGGATCAGTGACGTACAATTGTAATAACCAGGACTGTGGAGTCGAAGTCGTAGAGTTTTAGTGTTTTAGTCGGAGTCGTCAAAAAATCCGCCGAGTCCGACTTTTTTTTACTTCCCAATGTATATGTTACTGTGAAAAACCGATATCTGGCAAATGTCGAGATTCTCCGGTGAATGTCAGCATTCATACAGTCGTTTCGTATATGTACGAAATATTTGCTAAATATCATTATTTCTCACTTACACCGGCAAATGTCGACATTCAACATGCGCTGATAGTGAATGTTGAATAAAAATATTTTTATTACGTTAAGTCAAAAATGCAATTTTTTAATATGTCAAAATAGGAGAAAACTTAAGTAACAGCACATGTAAATAAACTGTTAAACCTAAAACAAACAGCACATTCTAAATCAGAAAAGAAAAATAATACACAATAGTAAACTTACACATAAATTATGTGATTAACGTTATACAATCTTATTTATTGCAACAATTTAAACTGTTATGACACTTTGAATTTCACAAGAGTGAAATTCAAAGTGAAATTCAAAAATGCTTTTACAACTGCATTTATTCGCGGAACACTTCTTTTTGCAATGACAGCGTGTATAATCTTGCCCTCCACTTTTCAAATTATCTGCAGTTGCTTCTCTCGGCGATATTTCTTAAGAAAAAATCGCCTCTATGGAAAGTAACTTTTCTTTACAAATTACTGTATATCCGTTTCTCCTGGTTTTAATAGTACAATTAATTTCTCTTCATCACTAATTTTTAAAACGTCAAAACGTTTTAATCGTCTGTAATCCAAAGGTGTGCTGCACTTAGTTTTAGCAGAAATCACTTCAGAAAGTATTTTAGAGTACTTTTCTTGAGAAAAATAAAAACAATTGTCTTCTCATTTACTTGCAATTAATGCACGTAACGTTTAAAAAAAAAGTTCTTGGTTCACTGCAGTATCCATTCAATATGAATTAGGGTATTGGATAAAAAAATAAAATTTAAGAAAACATTGAACGCATCAGCAAACCTTGCATAAGACTGACAAACAGCAGTGTTCCAGAGTATAACAAATAGATACCACGTGATTTCAGTTGCAACAGAATAAAGGATTTGGCGACAGGCCTTTCTGTCGACATCGGCTTCTCGGGTGTCGTTTCGACCTCCACCAATAGTTATCTGTGCTTGTCGACATACACCGGCGATTGTTCAAATGTATAATAATATAACCAAATATTCGGTCTTTCACCGACGTATTTTGTTTGTGTCGACATTCACCGGAGACTATCGACATTCTCTAATTTCGGTCTTTCACGGTAACATATATATATAATATAAATATAGATATAGATTATTTTTGGTACCTTTAAAACAGCATCTAACAAACGGAACCTTAAATATTTTGTCTTTAACATATTTCTCTTACACAATTAAAGTTAGTTTTCAAAAAGTAAATTATTTCAAATATTTTATATTCTAGATTTAATTCCATATTTCGAAACCGTATTGTGTCTTTATATTTATATTTTTAAACCGCAAATTACGCTAAATTGCAGTTTAAAAAAATAAATTCTAGATATAAATTAAAAATTTTTTATGAAGTTAGTTGATTTCAAATCGTATTCGCTATTTTCAATGGAAGGATGGAGTTGAAAGAAATAGCATTTCAAATTGATGATCTAATATTTTCGGCAACAGAAAACGTTAAAAATAACAAATATTTAACATTTAAAAACAATGTTCTTCGTATTGATTTTAAAATCTTTTTATCAAAAATTATATAAAAAGTAAATAGAACAAGAAATCGAACATTTTAAAATAATATTTCCAGAACATTTCATTCGAAATTTAAAATTTATATTAATTAAATTTTTCAACTTTTGACGTTTACGTATATTAATTAAATTATATTTCAAACGATACGATTAAACTACTCGTTGCCAAGAAAAAATGGCTCTGAAAAGAGCCGTTGGGTTGCTGATTTGCAAGAAATCAGCAATTGGGCCTTTCTCGTGGCAACGAATTCCCATTTAACTACCGGATTTAGCAAATCTTCCTTTTTTTCCTCACGGATTTCTTCCTCTTCGATACCCGTTTCCTCGGGCTTGCAGTGCGGGAGCGTTTCGGCTTCATTTGACTTTTTTTCCTTCGACGATTTTTTTTCTGGCCCTTTATTGGTTTTATACAAATGCAGGCTCCCTTTTCACTTCCATCTGACTTCATTTGCTTAATTTTGGGAAGATCAACGAGCTCTTCTTTACAAAAATCTTTTTTTTCCTTCTCTTCGGATATTTCACTCATGATGAACGCTTCTATTGTATTCGTTACTAACCGAATGAAGATATTCTCTAATTCGAACTGTCTCACGCGCTTTGGCTTCTTTCAGTCATCGATTCTTCGATTACGTAATTTAAACTTTGAATTTTAATCTGTATTAATTAAATAACTAATACCAATATTTTAAAAACAAAAATACAATTTGCATTTAATGAATGTCAATATCCGTATATACTTGTTATTAAGTTTGAGGCTCAGTCACAAAAAATGTGGTACTCTATTCGGAAGCAAGCACACACAAAAAGAGTATAGCTACTTTCGGGCAGGACCCTCAAAATGCATCTTTGAAAAACTGACAACACATTGATCCATTAACATAAGGATCGGCTCAATACAGGCTTTAGGGCCGATTATAGTCATATCTTTTACAGACGAATCTGCTACATAATATCATGGTTGAAGAATAAAAATAAACAATGTTCCGATCTTAATTAATATGGGATTAATTATGGCATCCGCTCCTGATTCGGACTTAAGTAGGCTATTTTTCTACACGACTAGAGGATTTGATCCCGGGATCCCGACCACTTTTTAGTCCCGAAATTTTCGGGATTAAGTTTTCCTGATCCCGAGATTTTCGGGGTTGACATCATTTTAAAAAAGTTGCAAAATAGACTGCATGAAGCTAAACGTTCAGTGCCAGTGCTCTTAACAGAATTGCTTGTCTATCAGTTTAATATAAAATACAAGAAGTTTTATACCAAGCAAGCAGCACTAATTAACCTAGCGGGCTTGCGATGCTTGCTTGGAATAAAACTTCTTGTATTTTGAACTACAGGTAACCCCCGTGTAACACGGTAGTTACGTTCCAAAAAATTGCCGTGTTATGCGAAACAAAGAACTAGTACGAAAAGCAGGGTTAGGTTCCAAAAATTAAAAAACATGCTATTATATTTTCATAATTAAGATAAGAAAATTTTAATAAAGATATTTAAGTGATACATATTAATATAAATTAAATAATGTTTTCTTCGTTATCACTAAAAGCACTATTAACCGAGGATAACTTGCCAAAAAGAAAACGAGAAGTTATCCTTATCCTCTGAGCATTTTTCTGCATTATCTTCAGATCCATGCTTTACCTTTTGCAAAATGTATGTNTTAGGCCAGGAACACACATGCGTAAAATTCGGCGTAAAATCTAGCATAAAACAGAAAACGTAAAAATTTTTCTGAAATTTTGGCTGAAACAAAACTGAAAATAGAGTAGAGCATGTCTCTACTTTTTACGCCGAAAAATTTTTACGCCAAAATTCCTCCAATAAAGAGAAGTCTTTCCTGTGACGTCGAAGTAGACACGTGGTTTTTATTCTAACAATGGCGGCAATGAGGGTTAACCCTACAATTGTGATGGTCTCGAAAAAACGAAAAATAAATGAAATAGAGGAGTTTATTGAATCCGTTCGACCAAATCAGTGTCATGTATAAAGACACTGTATTTAAACAACGTTTATGGATGGCTACAGGTGTTAAATTTCAAATAACAGGTAAGTCTAGTAGAATCGATATATAGGCCTAGTATTTATATCACACGTTCTTTATTTGAATTTGGAATACGAGTCTATTAATTTAAATTTTCTATATTATAGCAGAGG